CTCAAGTCCAAAATGGTGTGGCTGAGAGGAAGCACAAACACAGTTTAGAAACTACTGTTACCCTTATTCATCAATCCAATCTTTTCTCTTTCCTTATGGTTTGATGCCATTTCTACCTCAGTGTTTCTCATTAATAGAATGCCTAGCTCCACTCTTCATTACATCTCCCCTTGTGAGGTCTTATTTCATCATGTTCCTGACTATTTTTCTTTCAAGGTCTTTGGCTGCCAATGCTTTCATTGGCTTCAACCATACACTCAACATAAACTTCTGCCTAAATCTAATCGTGTGTTTATCGGTTATCATCCTTCTATGAAATAGTATGGGTGTTTAGATTCTCTTACTGGCATAGTGCATACCTCTAGACATGTTCTATTTAATGAATCTTGTTTTCCATTCTTCACACTTCCTCATACCTCTTCTCAACATTCCTAATTTTTTATGGGGTTCCACTTTTACTGTGTGTTCTTCTCTTACTCAGTTACCTTCATTCTTATTTGCTTCTACTCCTTTGCTAACTCTCTCTTCTTTTTTACATTCTACTCTTCATTCCATTCCTATTCAGTCTCTCTATATTGAACTTCCCTTAGCTCCTCCTTATGCTCCAACTCCTCTTACTAAAGCCCTTCCTCCTAATATTCATCCTATGGTGACAAAATCAAAAGCTTAGCACCTTATTTGTCTTTTTGCTACTTCATTGCTTATTATTGAGCCTTTTACAATCAAAGAAGCTCTATCTTCTCCTGTTTGGGTAATTGCTATGCAAGAGGAATTTGCTGCTCTTTAGCAGTACTTGGAAGCTTGTACCTCTTCCACCACCCAAAATTACCATTGGATGTAAATGGGTTTTTAGGATAGAAAAGGACCCAGATAGAAGCATTGCTAGATACAAAGCCAGGTTAGTAGCTAAAGGGTACTTGCAACAAGAGGGCATTGACTACCGAGAGACCTTTAGTCTTGTTGCTAAACAACCCACCATTCGTATTTTGCTTTCTATAACGCCCCCAAATAATTGACATAAAGATCGGTCTATTTAATTCATTCAACCATAATGACTCAACTTAAGTGATCAAATCTCTACAATTGTATTCCATTCATATGAGAGATTTACAAAAGGTCCACATGCAATACATATTCAATCCTCTTAAAGTTTGAATTTGTAGCATGTGAGATAGTTAGAATGAAGAAATCAACAAAAGAATGCCTCAAGGGCTACAAGTTCTAAGACTTAGGCTTGGTTACACAGAAGGTGGTTATCGAACCTACACAAGTAAAGCTCTTGGCTTGTCAAAAGAACTAACAAAAAAAAGAGCTTCGTGCTTTCCAAAGACTTCCCACACCTTTAATTAGGTAGAATCACCACATCATTTCCTACACAAATCCTCTAAAGGTGAACACAAAACCCAGTAGAGATATCTTCACAAAGTATATATGTTTAAGTAGTCGTATATACATGAATGCAATGCCATGCCATGCTCCAAAATCACAATTTTTATTTCCTTTGAAATTCATATGCAATGATCTTTTAAAGACACTTCATTGTCTCAATAAAATTCAAACTTTAAATACGGGATGGTAAATATGACTCAGGTAATCCCCAGGCTGGTGTTTGCAAGTAAGCATAACAAGTATTATCAATCTCCCACTTTACCGGCTCCTGAGCGGAAGGCACCTAGTACCTCCTCCGCACGTATTTTCGGTCTTTCACTCTGGACACTCAGACCAACTTAATAATACCATCTACGCCCTTTATCCGGATTTACCAAACGTATTTACCCCAAAATATTTCAAGATTTTTAATTGTTTTCTCAAAACAATAAATCAATTTGCAAGACATAGCCATAATAAACAATATTCAAAACTATACAAAATGAATGAAATGATATGCAATTATAAAGCTTCATTATAACATTCTACAATTCTCAAAATTTGCTCAAGATAGAATGTAATATTCAATAATTCTCCATTTATTTCCAAATTTCCGTACTCACATGACATGTGATACCTTTTTATATCCACAATCACATTTATTTCCTTTTCATAGTCCAAGCATATACATAATCATGCTATCACGTGAATTTCTTAACTCAAAATCTCATCCATCCCATGAATATCTCAATCAACACAACAATAAAGAAATTTTATCAATTTTCTAAGAAATTCCCCACCACTTTATAAATATTTCTCAAAATCTAGTTTTTCATAATTTTTCCCAAATCTAGGGTTTGAGCAAAAGAGGGTTTTCCCTTCATTTTCAAGATATTATCCTCCATACAATTCCTTGAGGTTCACAAGTTCATAAAACCATTTTATTTGAATTTTATCACAATAAAAGTCACTTTTCAACATTTCCAAAATCCCACATTCAAATCCTAAACCCTCTACACAAAATCTTAGCAAACACAAAGAAGACATTCTCAAGCTATATATATAACTCAAAATAACTCCTTACCTCAAGTCTTGGAAAAAAAAAAGATGAGAAGAGCTTCAAAATTGACAGTGTTGAAATCTGATGTTTACTGCACACAATGTAGCCCTTGATGAGCTCTCTAATATTAATGAAGACACAAGGGTCAAAGCTCCAATAGATTTGGAGGGATCAAGGAATTTATGAAGGTTGGTAGGTGTATTCTAGAAAGAGATGAGAGAAATGAGAGAGAAAAGAAATGTAGAGAGAGAGATTATCGAAGTGAAAAGTTTGGAAGAGATGAGTAATGGTTCAACTTTTAAGAGATTGGACACATTTTTTGGAGCAGACTGCGGATAGACCGCTTGAGTAGTGAAACCTGCGCTCGAGTTATGAATTTAAATCCTCAAAATCTCTCTCCTTTGCAAACAGATCTCTCGAGCGGTAGAACCTTTGCTTGAGCAGTGAAAGCATACTTCCAATATTTTAGAATTCAAAACAAAAGTTCTGGAAGGATGACATTACCGCTCGAGCGGTCTCAACTCAAAAGTGAGGCAAAACAACCTTAAAGCATTCCCACCATTCTCAGATTCACTCTAACACCCAAAGATATAAAATGACACCTTGAAACACACTAGAATGCCTATGAACAACCACAAAGAAAAGAGTAATAACATAAAACTCAAAGGGCTTAACGGTGACAAGGACAATTAAAGAGACATAAATTACAAATTAATAGACTCAAATTGCATTTTTAGTGGCCTTTAAAACAACTTGATATCTCAAATGCTTTACTTCATGGAAAGCTCGAAGAGAAGGTTTTCATGCTTCAACCTCCTGGTTTTGTTAATTCTGCTACTCCCACCATGTTTGTAAGTTAAAGAAAACTCTTTATGGTCTTAAGCAGGCCCCAAGGGCTTGGTATTGTACCTTCTCCAGCTTTCTCCTCTCTCAAGGTTTTCTTAAAGCCACTCAGATTCATCCTTGTTTGTCAGAAAAACTGCTACACACATTACCATTCTTCTCATCTATGTGGATGATATTCTTCTTACTAGAAGTGATTTTGCTGTCCTTGATAAACTTCTTCATCATATGCATCAAGCTTTTTCCATGAAGGAATTTGATATCTCTTATTTCCTTGGCATCTTTGTCCAAGCTTAGGATCATGGATATTTTTTTATCTCAACACAAGTATGCTTTTGAATTACTCTCCAAAGTAGGAATGGTTAACTGCAAACCATGTGCCACTCCTCTTTCTCTAAAGCCCTCTTCTTCAAATTCTAGTACCTTACCATTTGCCAATCCCTCATTTTATAGAAGTATAGTTGTCGGTCTTTAGTATCTTACAGTCACTAGGCCAGATTTGGCTTTGGCTATTAATCAATGTCAACACATGCACTCTCCCACCAATGGTCATTTTTGTGCTGTCAAAAGATTGCTAGGGTATATCAAGGGTACTTTTTCTCACGGGCTGACTTTTTCCTCTGGTCCTCTGGTTCTTTAAGCATTTTCAGATTCAAATTGGGTCGGTGACCTCTCTGATAGAAGGTCTACCTTTGGGTTTTGCATTTTTTTGGCTCCAATTTAGTTTCTTGGTCTGCTAAGAAACAAAATACTGGGTCTCGATCTTCCACTGAAGCTGAACATCATTCCTTAGCTCATACTGCCGTAGAGATTTGCTGGCTTCAACAACTGCTCAAAGACTTGTTTGTGCCATTCTCCATTCCCACACTTCATTGTGACAACCTCTTTTCCATGGCCTTAGCCACTAATCCAGTTTTCCACACTCGCTCCAAACACATTGAAATCGACCATCATTTTGTTTGTGCGAGAGTTATTGCTAAGCTTCTTGATCTTCAATTTTTCCCCACTGAGCATTAGCTTGCAGATTTATTCACCAAGCCTTTGGCTTCCCCTCAATTTCATTTTCTAAAAAACAAGCTCATGGCGCAACCTCACCCCATTAGCTTGATGGGGGATGATGAGAATATTAGCAAATCAACTCCTATATCAGTAACGCAATCCAAGTTCCAGTATGCACAACAGTCACAACTCAGGAAGGATAGCAACTCCAAATGTTACAGTTATAGTACTTGCACACATGTAACAGTTAGGTAGGTAGGTAGATAGTTTGTTATACGTGTATCAGTCAAGAGAGTTAGTTAGAATAGGAGTATTTTGATTACAAGATCTAGTATGTAGAACAATTCGTTTTGATGTATGAAATAAGAGTTTCATCATCTTTGGACTTCTAGAATTACGTCACTTTTTTATTTTCTTTGAACACTCATTGTAATCCCAGCAATTTTTTTTTTTTTTGTTTTTTTAATGTTACATGAGACGGTAGTTAAATTTGATCACCTAAACATTACTGTTCATTAAATGCCGTTTAAGTCATAAATCACTGTTTCAGTCTGTACTAGGATGCATACAGCAGCCCTTGTCAACTATAAGAAAAGGGCATAAACTTAAAAAATGGCCTTCATTTATTTATAGACAAGCCAATGTTTGAACAAATGTTCTTTTGTGTAAGTGGATATTGTGTAATGTACAATATTGATAGACAAGAAGGATGAATGGAGACTGTAAGCAGTGATCTTGTGAATGTATAATGTAATAATTTTGTATTGAATGTAATGTACAAACACTAACAACAGATCACCCAAGAACAGGGTAGATCCCCACATAGCTGGTGATGAAAAAACAAGAAAAATTCTAAAAACAGCTCAAACTAAGCCATAAATAAAAAAGCCACAATCCAATAAATAATATATATAGCCTTGCCGATTGCTAAAAATAAAAGATCGGGCAAGACCTGTACAAATCAACCACCCCCCACCCCCCCCAAAAAAAAAAAAAAATCGATCTATTGCACTAAATGTTACAAAAATGAGAAACCGCCAAAAGCTGAAACATGCAAGAGGAAAGCAGTGATGATGATTGGTATCATTTTGCAAGGTGTGTTTTGTGGTGAGCTGCTCTGACCAATCTGTCCAGCGTTGACGAATTCACTTGTACCGGTACTTGTTGTTGCAGAGACGTTTACAGTTAATGAACCTAACAAGAAAAATTCAAACACATCAACATTGGTGTAAAACTTCAATTCCCCATATCATCTGAATGATTTTAGTTGAATTTGTGTTCTCTAGGATTACAACAAAAACCTTCGTCTTAATCTTGTAAGATTAGTTTTGCAACAAATTAAATTGAATGACGAGAAAGATTGTTGAATTGAAACTAGGGATAAAATCATTTCAATTTAAAGGGTATCAAAATGTTCCTTTATAAATTGGGATAGCCTGAACTTACAGTCATAATTAGCCCATCCGATCCGTTGGCCAGCCAGATCATAAACTACGATCTTGTCTTTCAGTACAAGGTCTGCAAACAATTTAAAAAAAATAATTAAAATAATGATTCCAATGTTTTAAGCTCTCAAGACAAACTATATAGAGCATGATAAAAAGGAAAATAAAATTCCTGGGCTCTTGCAATTTAGAAAAGTTAAAGTGATTATTGCGATATAATTTACCCAAGCAGATTCCCATGTTAACAGAGAGCTAACATAGAGAGTTCATCACATGTTTTTAAAAATAAAAAATAAAAAATAAAAATAAAAAATAAAAAATAATAATAATAAAAAAAACATATAAGAGTAATGGCCGACAGTATAGAACAAGCAAATGCTTCTAAAAGAAAAAGTAATCCAATTTAAACTTAAATTTATCACTTGTGCACATAGAGAGTTCATCACATTTGGAAATAAGTTACAGATAATAATATTACGTCAACAGCAAAAGTACCACTGCAAATCATGTTGATGGTTACATATACGGAGATATATAGACACTTGTGCACATTTAGGGGTGAATGTGTGTGTGTGTGTGTGTGTGTGTGTGTGTGAGAGAGAGAGAGAGAGAGAGAGAGAGAGAGGGAGATGCAAATAATAATAACAAAAATGATTGTGCATGGAATTACTCTGTATTATTGTGAAGCGCATTTTCAACTCAACTCTACCAAGTATATATGAGGTTTGCTTTTCTTCCTTTCCATTTCTATGAATTTTTATTCTCTAATCAAGAAAAGCCTTTTAGTATTCTTACCTCCTAAAATTGTTATCCCTTGGCCTTTAATTTTCTGGAATCCAATGCACCACACTGCAGCACCACCCTGTAGAAACGAAGTTGGCCATTCAAGTTTTAGTATTCTCTTAAAAAATTCACAATAGAAAAGTATTTTGAGGAAAGGGAAACTCAATCATACCACCACCGGAAAATAAGGAGAAATAAAAGAAGAGTATTTTTAGAAACTCACAATAGAATTTTGCTGTAGAAGGTAGTCCTCGGGTTTGAGAATCATGGATGCACCACCAGCAAAGTTTAAACTAACTGTTGGAAATAACATAGAGATGCTGAAAAAAGAAAAAGGTACACCTCCGATGTCAACACAAACAAAAAAATGAGTCGCGTTAAAGGACTACGCATTTGGAGCAAACTAAGATATTAAAACTTCGAAAAAGACCTGGATGCGATTAGATAACACTGAATTCCTTGGGAAAGAAAAGGGCGTGCAGATTGTGAAACAGCGGTCGTAATCTGCACAGATGAGCAGATCATAAATTTCAAGCATCCCACAAGTTCAATATACAGATTCAACAAAAACATAACAAATCGATCCATTGTGCAACTTACAGCACCAACAAAAGGACCATAGGCTTCTTCTGCAAGGTATGCCAAAGTTGTTCCAGAATCGACTATGGTTCCTCGGTTATTTGATGTCGTAAACACTGATGGATCTATGGACAATGTCTGCCCATCGACAGCAATGCTTTGCAGATCCAAATTATAGTGTGGCCTGCAAGTTTGGATACTTCCAACCATCAAGCTTCTCTAAACAATCAAACAGCGAGATATGACCCCATACTATTTGTACATATTAACAACTAAACTGGAACTGAAATATAATATGACAGTTAGTGTAGTCATGCCAAAATTCACAAACACATAAATATTCTGTGCTCCGAAATCCAGTGGGTTCTAGATTTTTCCCTAGGTTTAGTTAGTTTCTAAAAACATTGTTCCTTGGCAACTAGATAGAAAAATGAGTTGAATTCATCTCAAAAAGTGAGTTTGTACGTTGGTTTTTCAGCCCTTTAAATCCCAAAAATTTGAGTCATTAAATGGTTGGTTAGACTAAGCAGCTTCCTACAACTTATACAAGTTAAACACCATATCAAAGCAAAATATGCCGTATCAAACTTTCCAAGGTCACCAGTCCTGTAGCCAAATTCTATTTCAACTGTCAATCTGAGCCTGGTGTCGCACAGCCAAAATTTTGAGTAACCAACATGAAACTTACAAGTCTACTTGAAATTCAACTCCAACTTTTGATTGTTTATGCTGATCAATGAACTTAAAGAAACCAATTAACTAATTGAGATAGATCTGTTCACACGTATCCTGTACATTTCTCAGCCCATATGCTAAATAATTGTTCCTCTCAATTCATTAACCTACAAAGCAAGCTTTGTGAAGTTTTAGCTCTTCTCAGTTTTCACTATGAATGGAATCCAAAATCCAGGCTTATTTAATTAGCCAGTGTGACCAAACGAGCCTCTTTCGGCCAATTTGGATCAAGCTCAAGAGCAATTTCAGTTTTGAAAAACCTGTTAGTAACAAATATCTAGGTGTTTACTGGGCAGTAAGGTGTACCAAATTGAGTTCCAATCCTTCTTGAGGAGATCAATTGATCAGGAAAACAAACAATTGCCCCAATTCATAGTAAATAGTAATTGATGCATCTTGAATTCTAGTTTTAGAACTAACGCAGCATGTTTCAGCCTTCTTTCACAAATTTACACCAACCGACCATGTGGTTCAAAGTATCTTCTTGGTTATTAAACCATGACTTGATATTTTGTATATTACCATAGACTGATGTTATCACCCAACAAATGATGAGTAAAAGCATCAGTAGATCAATGCATTTGGAAAAGTTTAACTTTACAGAGTCCTTGTAAAGTTGTTTAATGTCAGACTTAGGCAATGACCTAGAATTTCAAAGCAACTGAATGAGCATATAAAGCCCAATTTTGAAGCAACTGAATGAACATATAAAGCCCTGATCATATATGAATTTCATATTCTATCAGATTGCAATCCATATCTCCAGCATATAAGTACAGAACCTGATCCAAGAAATTGTTGAGGCAACTCTAACATGCTAAAAGAATCAAACCATGCATGCATGCTCATTTCCATTCTCAACTGCATGATATCAAGTCTTCTTTTTCTCTTTTGATTATCTTAGTTCTTAAGAAGCTCGCCTCACAAACAAGCAATATACAAATAGATTGTATGGAGTATACCACAATATGCAATGTCTGCAAGGTGAAGCTATATGGATTATGGAAAAGGTATTTTTCATGTAAGAAACCTATCACGTCCAAGATGGTGCTTATAAAATTTCAAATATCGTGATAATTGAAAAGAAAAAAAAGAGGATTGAGGAAAGAAATAGAGAGAACAGCTTTGCACAAGCAGAATGAAAACTTACTGTGATGGTACGAGGGGACTATAAACCATATTTGGCTCCACAATCTCACCAAGAACCAATATACCACCACCACCATTATTTGACTTCAAGCAATGAGAGAAGGCATTTGGGGATACTCCCTGTGAGAAAAGCTGTGAGATGATAGACAATCCCTGTTGTCCAAATCCAAAAATCCCATCAACCGCTCTATCTGCCTTTGTCAAATCCCCAGTCTGTGATGTGCTACATCTGTTTTCATAATCCACCAAACATTAACCAATGAAGTCAATGAATTACCAACAATTACCATCTCCAATTTGGAAGGTTCATGTGAGCTCACCCGAAGACCACAGGGGCTGTAGAGTTTGTGGTCAATGAATTCCCAACAATTGTGTCGAGATGCATCACATCTGACACGTAATAACCTGATGTCCCACTGCCATCTCCGTATTGGAATGTGTAAGCGCACTGATTATTCTGACTAGAACAGCCAGAGTCTGAAGATTGAGCTCCTAGAGCGCATCTTTGGTCTGAACAAGAAATCAGTGAAGCTGTTGAAGAGCTTGTAGGATCGAAGAAGTTAAGAGGAATCTACAAGGAAAGAAGAAAAAAAAAAATCGCTCAAATTCAGAATTTAACAACAAATTGATTAGAAAGGTGAGAAAAAATTGATTACTTGGAGACCGCTTGATGTGGGGCAACCATTGCAAGAATAACAACTGACCCACAAGACATCACTTCCAGTATCAATCTGAACATAGAAATCCTTTGGAGGAGAACCCAATTGAACTTCGGTAAAATAAAGCCTAAAACAAGACCATGAGCCACAATAAGAAACACTATAGTCAAAGTAAATTTTATGATCATATATATAACTATCAATCCAATCAAAAGTGAATGTGAAAAAGAACAAAAATTAAATGCAAAACCAATGGAAGAAATAAGAAAACAAACAAAACCCATAGTCCACCAAATCAATGCATTTCCCAAAAGATGAAATTGATAACATAAGAGGTAGAAATTAAGAACATCCGTTAACCAACACCAAACAAGAAAGGAACACCAAAACCAACAATGAAAACAACAACAACAACAACAACAACAACACAAAAACCCAAATTTGGAGACCAAGATTTCCAAAATCAAATCTAAACCCATAAACTGCTACATTAAAAATACCAAAAAAATCAAAATCCATAATTCAAATCAACACAATATATTCATATTGCCCGAAAAAGAGTGAGAATTGATCAAAATTACCCAACAACGTAGGGATCGTAGGTGCCTGCGACGGGGAAATCGACGACACCTGAAGAAGTAGAAGATTGCAAGATTCGACGGTGCCTTACCCTGTCTCGCTCTCTGAGTTTGCTCAATTCGATTCGGTGACTCGTCGGAAAAGCTCTCTCCAGCTTCAGAGTGGCTGGAAAACCGCCCCCAACCACCGCCGCCGGCAAAATCATGGCCGAAAATGCCACCAAGATCGAAAATCCCGCAGCAACTGAAAGAAAACGCGGCATTTTCTTTGCTTTGCCTCTGTTTTTTTCTCTCTTTCTCTTGCCTTTTTTCACTTTCTTCAACTACCAAAACAGCAACGTCCGAATAGTTGACCAATCATATCTATATATATATATATGATATGTGGGTGTATATCTGATATTATTATATATATTAATTAATAATACTACGAGATTGGAAGAGAATGAGGAGGCAGAGATGGAGAGAGACGTGTATTTCGTCATCCTCTTTCGTCGTTATCTTTTGCTTGAAAAATCTATTTAAGAATTTTTCAAATTAATGTAATTTAGGATTTTGATTTATTTATAATTTGGTTGTATCTTTTAAAGGTAATTTAGGAAAAAAAACATAAGGTGTATTAAAAATAAATTATAATTTTAAATAATGTAATAAAATGTACTAAAAAATTAGACGTATTTAAATAGAATCTCCATAGTTTTGGCGGCCAAATGTCTCTTTTCCTCAACTCGTATGAACTTTCCAAGACGTGCATGATCTATTTGTTGTCTTGTGGGCTAGTTCATGCAACATGGGCTGATTGTATGGTTGTTTTTCATTAAGCCATGTATTTTTGTTAGGCCTTGCTAATTGGGCTTTCATGCCATGTGGCAGTATTTTTTATTTTTCAAAAAAAAGTTAAACAAAGAGATGGGCAAGGCTTGAACCCATGACCATGGGTTTAAGTACGAGGACTCATACCACTTAAGTTAAGTACACATTATAATATTAATTTCATTATTATTTTTTTTTATTCCTACTTATTTAAATTGCACACACATCGTGTGTGCCACCCACTAGTTATTATAAATTGAACACTTCTTATGGTGTCCTGAATCTTTACTCTCCTCATGGCATGTGGCAGTATTTTTTATTTAAAAAAAAAAAGTTAAACAAAGAGATGGGCAAGGCTTGAACCCATACATGGGTTCAAGTACGAAGACTCATACCACTTAAGCTAAGTACACATTAAGCGGAATTTATCTGACCGAGACAATAAGTGAAAATTTACTTAAAATTCATAATTTCAGAACACTAAATTTGAATTTTTTACAAGTAAATTTGAAATTAGGGACCTAATTTTTGTAATTGATTCTCAAATTTATAATTTTTTTAATAAAAATTTCTCTGAGTTTGAACAGCCAGTGAAAATGTCATTTGTTTTTTCATTGACTTTCACCAGTTTTTTTTTTAAAATTCTTTTTATTTTAAATTTACATTGATTATGGATTTTATTTGACAAATTTTTATAAAATGATTATAAAAATAAAAATTTGGAAAAAATAGAAATATAAATCAAAATTTATTAAATTTAAAATTTTTCAAATCACCTAAAAAGTTAAAAACGTTATTACTGTGGTATTTTCGTCCAGAGCATTTTTGAGGACCTTGACTAGTTTTGAAAAATTTATTGTCCTTACTCTTCTAAAAACTTAGAACAGGGGAACTGAAAAAAATTTCCCTATATAATTAATTATAAATTTTTCACTAATTTATAATTTATTATTTTTTTTTATTTGTATCATATTAGAATGTCTTTAAAACTAATAACAAGGCCAATATAAACACTAATCTATAATTTTTTTTTTTATTTGTATCATATTAGACTGCCTTTAAAACTAATAACAAGGCCAATATAAACAAGATTATGTTCTTATATTATTATCTTGCATTTTTAATGTTTTAAAACTCTTTTCCTCATGTCTATCCCACTTGCTAATAACAATAATATAAACAAGATCATGATTCATGTGCGTATTTCAAACGCCTTTTTTTCTTTCATACTTTTGCTTTTTTATTATTCTTTTGCATTTTTAATTTAATTTTATTTACAACTTCAAGGCCCTCTTGAGGAGGAGTGATCTCATTAGAATTGCACATTGCATGCCTACTTTGGTTACTTTACCTTTTTCTTGCTGGATATTTGTGGTCTTGGTGGCTAATGTAGAAAACATAGATGAGTTCAAAATTATCACTATGAAAGTGCAAAAGTATGTTTAAGAGTGCAAACTCTCATAATTTTAAATTTTTTAGTATAATATACGATATTTTTAAAAATTTTGTGGTATGGTCGGTCACTCCCTCCACCCCTAGATCCATCCTTTGGTAGAAACCCTAGCTTGTTTTAGATTTGCATGTCCCTTGATGACAAAATGATCATAAATGTAGGATAGAATTCTTGGATCACATAATAAAAACAAAAAAATAACACTTTTATCCCTTATGCTTTAAGCAATTTGCACGCATACTCGTAATTTTTTTGTATTAAAGTAGGATTGATTGTAAATGAACTAAAATGTTCATGAACAATTCAAATCATTTTGTTTAAAACTTATTCATGCTCGGCTCGTTTGTTAAATGAATGAGCTCAAGCCAAGCTAGAGTAGACCTAACCTAACTGCATCTCAATAGGTTTGTGAACACAAAAAATATAAATTAATATATTTTTTTTATGTATCTATCAAATATATTTTTAATAATTTAATTATGTCTTTAGATATATTTGGTATTTATGTAATTTATATATTTGGTGGATGAAATTTATTATAATACAAGTTTTTTTTTAATATATATTTTTATTTTTTCTTTTGGTATGCATATTAATTAAGTTCTTTTTTTTTTTTTTTTTTTTTTTTTCCTTCAAGATCGACTCGCTTATGTAATTAAGTTGACTCGAGACAAGTTCGAGCTCAATTACTTAGGAGCGTTTTAAAAAGATGGTTAAAAGTTATTTTTTGACTTTGTTGTGAGAAAGAGAAGTGGGTTAAAAGTTAAGAAGTGACTTTTAACCTACTTCTTAATCTCAAACTCGACTAATCTTTAGTGGTTGTTTGGGGTGTTCAAAATAAGTGCATTTTCTAACTTTTTAGACTAAAAAGTTGAGAAAAAAAATATGATTGTTTAGGATAACTTTTTGAATTTTTATGAAAAAATGTGTATTAAAAAATTGTATAAATTAGTATATAGGAGAAGCTTGGGCAAAGTAGGCAGTATGGTGGGCTGAGTAGTGTATAGGAGAAGCTTGCCTTCTTTTGAGCATTAAATTGGACGGTGCTGTTCAGTCCGTGGGGGCTCACCACAGGTTTCGTTTTACTAATCGGAATCGTTATATGTGCAGAACTCGTTAAGTACTATATAATTGTAAAACATCACGTTAATCGGATATCGATAGCTATTTGATCGGATTAGTTTTTTATCAACCGTTAACTATGATACCATCCATTTTTTATACAAAACTGATTTGATCATATAGTTAGCGATATCCGATTAACGTGATTTTTTATGGGCATATATTACTCGACGAGTTCTACGTATTGAACGATTCAGATTATCAAAACGAGACCCGTGATGGGCCCTCGCTGGCCGAACAACACCATCTTGTTTGCTTCTACGCCCGTTCCTTTTGTACAAAAGGTGAGCAGCTAAAGTACAACTCACGTGACATGTGAGTTATGCTTTTTTTTTTGTAAAATTAATTTTTAATTTTTTTTTTTTTTAGTAAATAGTGATAACCTTTTAATTTTTTAATATTTTTTTAATTTTTTTAAACTTTTTTGAGATATCTTAAACCAAACCTTAATTAATCAAAGCTTGAACACCCCAAAACTCCACTCAACTTATGGCCCTGGACGCAGGAGCGGCTCCAAGGCTTGGTCAGGGGTGCCACTCGAACCCCCTGGCTGAATTTTTATTATTATTATATAAATATTAGATTTTAAGAAAAAAATTAGTAATTGAACCCACTAAAATACAACTTTGAACCTATAGTTTTAAATCCTACTCTTTTGAACCCACTATTTGATAGTGTTGATAATGAGCTTATTATGCAACGATTTCAAAATATGAAATCTCGTCGTGGTCAATTGTAGAAGCTCGTGTATTAGCATGTCTTTTTGCTTAAATAATAATATCAATATATTGAAATATTTTTGTTTATAATTTTAGAATTTAAATTAATTTGTTGTTTTTTTTCTCCATATGTGATATAATGATTAATGTGAATTTTTTGTAAGATATATGGTATTTGAGTTTTTGATTGACACTACTAACAAAAATTCCTGGAGTCACCACTGCCTGGACGAAAGTGTAAGTTCCATTCAAATTAATATACGTAGAATGAATAAAAAAACTTACGCAAAAACATCCTCGTAATTCTTTAAAATTATAAAAAATATATATATGTATATATTTTTTTTCAGAACCAAACCCATTCATATCCATGACATTAACAGAGTCATATAAAATATCATATCAAATGATATTTAATATGATCACTTTAGTATTATGCCATCTAAGGTTGTTTTATACTCTTTTTGTCGTATCTTTTAACATTTTCATTTTTTAAATTTTCTCACAAAGTTCTTATTAATTTTATAAAGCACTTAACATTCAATTTATATAAGCACAAAATTTCTGGAAGCTGAGGTTTACAATTATTGGTAATTATTAACGCTTTTTTTACTTTTTTAAAAAAAAAAAGAGGCATGTTTGTAGTACACCTTTGATGACATTTGTATCATCTCATTGTCAAAGTCAGAACTTGACACCTTTGAAACAATAACATGCTTGCGCATATGATATACATAATTTCGTATTTTAAAGCTTAGGGCAACAATTTATATAATATAATATGTATATGCTGACATTTAATTTGTCTCATTTCACATCCACACATTTAAAGATTAGGGGAAAAATTTAAATAACAAATTTCTTATAGGGCGGACATTTATTTTGTCCCATATCACATTTTCAACTTCTTCTTTTTTATTTTTTTTTATTTTCATCTTATTAATGAGTTTTACGTTATTGGTAATATTGTAACACAAATATTTCTTTCGATTGGATTCTAGGGAAGCTAATGGAATTGCTCACTGGTGACCAAATTCGGTATTAAATTTTGAATGTTGTGCAATGTGTCACCAATGTATTAATATAAAAAATGATGAATGAACACATTTTGGTCTAAGTTTGGGAAGTTTTAAAAAAGTCAAAAAGTTACTCAAAAAGTTAAAAAGTTATCACTATTCATCAAAAGTCAACAATTACGACTGCACAACTCTCAATATTAATTTTACCCTACACATTAATTTATACAATTTTTAATA